CTGCAGGAAGATAGCCTTCCCCTCCACCCCGAGGGGTCTCAACAGGGCTCTCCCGGGCCTTACCTAGGACCCCTGTCCCTCAGTGGGAAGTGGTGCCTGACGTGACCAATACCCACCCTTGTGGGACTTGAGCTCTCCCCACTGTCCCCTGGCTCCATCCTCACAAGCTTCTGGAAGCCTGGTGAGTGCAGGGGGCCTTTAGGATAGAGGGTGTGTGGTGGGGGGCAAGGCCACTTTAAGACCCCAGCTGTGGCTAGCTGCTCAGGTCTGATGGGAGGACTTGGTGGTCAGGTGGTCCCTGAATGCCATGGGGAGAAGGTCCCTGGAGACCCAGGTGAAGGGTCATGGGACAAGAGGATGACAGTTAGAGCTGGTCTGACATGGGCAGGAGGGGCTCAGCCTGGCCCAACCCCGCCCCCTGCCGGCCTTCTGGGCCAACTACTCGGCCAGCGTGTGACAGCCTGGCCCATAGCAGGGCCAGCAGGCCACGTGCAGCATCCTGCCAGCATGCCCTCCACCCCACACACCTGAGAGGCGGCTTCCCCTAGCTCCTCCGAGGAAGGACTCGGTCCCTCTTCCGGCTTTGTCCAGCCCAGCAGCCCTGGAGACAGGACTTGAAACTCCTCAGCATGTCCCTGTTTCCTAGGTGGCCACCTGCCAGGCTCTGCCTTGCTGGACTTTCTCAGTGGGGATGAGAGTCCTGTGCTCAGTCCATCCAGAGTAGCCCAAGGGTCCAGTGGAACTTGCAGCCCGGGTTTGTGTGCCCAGGTCACTGACACCAACACCACCGGAGTCCTTCCTGAGTATGGGGTGTGCGGCTGGAGGAGGCGCATGGGTGCCTCCTTAACATGCGGCCACCTTCACTGTTGTGGACTCTGAGGGCCCAGGGAGTGGGGTCAGTCTTGGCTAGGGCAACACATGGCCTCTGGAGGAGGTGCTGGAGACAGTGGAGTCTGCAGGTGGCCAGGGGCACCCTTTCCTGCAGCTTTGGGACTTTCAGGGTGGGATAAGGCATGGAGGGCAGTGGGCTTGGAGATGCAGTGATCACTTGGCCCTGTCTCCAGGGTCTGGACTAGCGAGGGAGGCAGGGCCCCACTCCAAAGTGTTTGCCAATGGCCCCTTGGAGGGGACCTGGGCTTCTCTGTGTGGGACTAAAGCTCTCATAAGGCACCAGCCAGGCTGTGGATGGTGGTGGCCACAGGTGGACGATCACACAGAGGATGGGCCAGGGGCCAGGCAGCCCATCTTCCCATGGTGGGCTCTTACTGTGCTCCACTGCCCGGGGTCTCCCACAGCAAGCTTGTCTCTGTTGGGGGCTGGGCGTCTAAGGCAGGGTCAGCACACCCGGGGTCTGCGCAGGCTCCCTGGCCTGCCGACACCACCTTCTTGCTGTGTCCTCACATGACAGCTCTGGTCTCCTCTTCTTGTTTGGACACTGGTCCCATCACAGGCCCCACCCCGTGACCTCTTCTGACCCCAATTCCCTCCTAGGCCCAGTCTCCATGTGCACCCCTGATTGTGTGGGCTTCAGCACAGGCACCGAGATGGTGGACACAGCACTGGGCAGCAGAGGTCTGGGGATCTCCCCTCGCTTGGGCAGGGGCGCTGTGGCTCACCTCCCTGAGGATCCCTCCCTTCCTACTTTGCTGTGGTACCTGGAGGTGGTGCCTGGGGCAGCCCTGTTTCCATGTCCTGTCCTGGCAGGAAGCCTTGGGGGCACCAACTGCGTAGATGTCAGAGACACTGGGCTTCGGAAGTCTAGACCCACTGCTGTGTGCCCAGCTGGGGTCATATTTACCCGCTGGGGGCCAGTGCCAGGGCCCCCACCTGGCCTCGTGGCCCCAAGTTAACTCAGGCTCCAGGATAAATACCTATTCAGACACACAAGGCCCCTTTGTCCTGCAGAGAGGCTCTGGCCCAGGATACTGCCCAGAGGCTGCTGTCCTCGGCACGGCCCCAGGCCAGGCCGGCTGCCCCAACACGTCTAGCTGCCCCATGGGGCCTTCTCTGGGCAGACTCTGGGCTTGGCTCAGAGAGGCCCCGGTGGGGGACAGGCTCCTGAGCAGCTCACAGAGGGATGGGAGTGGCCAGGTAGGCAGGGCTGGTGAGGAGGGGCCTGGCTGCAGCCCTCTGCCTCTGTAGCCCTCTTCAGTCCACCTCTGACCTGCAAAGAGGTGGGAGCCCTGCCAACCCCCCTACCCTGCTGGCAGGAGATAAGTTCTGGGGGCTTTAGGCCCCACCCACAACCCCAGCTAGGGCAGCAGAGGTGCTGCCCACACACTGTCTGGCTAGAGCCTCCCTCGACAGTGGCACCGACCCCTGTGGGCCTTAGCACCCTTGTCTGTGAAGTGGGCCTGGCAGGCTCTTGGATGGCCCCTGGGAGGTGCCTGTGTGGAAGGGGGTAGTCCAGGAGGCCAGGCAGGAGATCCATGGGATTTGGAAGAGCTGACTAGGATGGAACAAAGAGATGGGGCCTGGAGGACTCTGAGGGAGAAGGACAGAGGCCTGAGGCTTAGGGCTGGGTGGTCCCCCAGTCCCCATTTGCAGCGGGCCATTGTCCTGCCTAGGAATGCCTGTACAGCCCACAAGGCCTTCTGCCACCTACCAGGCACCTTTCTCCAGATGGGCTGAACACAGATGCTGCTGGCCTCCTGGAGCCTCAGGGGTCTGCCCAGGCTGCTGGGCTCCTCAGACTGTCCTTTGAAGCCACCCTTCCATTCCTCCACTTCTCAGGAGGTCCACCGGGCTTTTGGCATCACAACCTGGCCTCTGTGGTCCATGGCTAGCAGCGACCCCTGGTGGCAGCCAAGCACATTGCTCCCCTCAAGAGTCATCAACCCTCTCTCTTGGCCCAGCCCAGGCAGGTCCTGGGACTCTGCTCTGGCTGAGGGATGTTCAGAGATGACTGGAGTGACCACTATCTTGCCAGGTGTTCAACTGGGTCCCTCCCTGGGTGGGACCCTGCTCTTCATTGTTAGAATACCCCGCCGTGGCTCAGGCTCTGTCCGCAGGCCTTGGCATCTGTCCCCAAGGAACAGTTCTCATTTGCTGCTCCTCTGCCGGGTCCGGGGCTGTGGTCGAGGCCTTACAGCATCAGCTCCCTGGAGCACAGTGCTCTCAGTCCTGCCCACCCCGGGCCTTCTGGCTTGTTCTGGAGGCCAAGGTGGGTCAAGGGTGCCCACCTGGACCAAGCCTGGGCCTGTTCAGAAGGGCTCCCACGGACTTTGGAACTGCATTCAGCTTGTTCCAGGGGTCCTGTACCATACATAGGCCCTTCTGCGGAACCAGCCCCACTGAGTCAGCTCTGGGTGCTGAGGATGTAGCCCCGGCATTCGTGGGGCCTGTCAACTTACTATTTCTTACCTACATGCCTTTGTTGTAGACAGTGAGCTTTGGTCAAGACTTAAAATGGGGGCTGGGGATGTGGCTCAAGCGGTAGCGCACTCGCCTGGCATGCGTGCGGCCCGGGTTCGATCCTCAGCACCACATACCAGCAAACATGTTGTGTCCGCCAATAACTAAAAACTAAATATTAAAATATTCTTTTTTTTTTTAAAAGAGTGAGAGAGGAGGGAGAGAGAGAGAATTTTTAATATTTATTTTTTTTTAGTTCTCGGCAGACACAACATCTTTGTTGGTATGTGGTGCTGAGGATCGAACCCGGGCCGCACGCACGCCAGGCGAGCGCGCTACTGCTTGAGCCACATCCCCAGCCCTCTTAAAAAAAAAAAAACTTAAAATGGGCCACCAGCTCATGACTGGGCTGTTTGTGGCTGTGAAGGAATGGGCTTCAGGCACTAGGAGCAGGGGACACTTTTAAGGCATTGTGAGGAGCTGGGGTGCACACCTGTAATCCCAGCTGCACCCATGTATCTAGTTGCTTGTTTCAAGTTGAAGCTCATTAGAATTTATCGAACTTCGACATTTGCTCCTCCCTTTAGTTTAATTAAGAGCTCAGTCTCTAGAAGGAACACCACTCACAAGGCATTTTCTCAACAGGAGTTGGAGACTGTGGTATTTACAGGTTCTGATGCTTAAGCAAATACAACTGGCACTCATGAAAAGATCCATACACGTACTTATTAAACAGCCTTCTGGAATCAGCATTGAAAATAAACTATATTCTTTAGATAAAAATTTTTAGGGCTGTAGCTCAGTGGCAGGGCACTTGCCTAGCATGTGTGAAGCACTAGGTTCAATTCTCAGCACTACATATAAATAAAATAAAGGTCCATCAACAACTAAATATATACATATTAATTTTCTTTTTAAAAGGGTTCGATCCTCCGCACCACATAAAATAAAAAGGTATTGTGTCCACCTACAAAAAAAAAATTGTATATTATATATAAACCAGTTCTGGGTAAGAACAGATATCAGACAATTGAAATGAGCAAACATTAATATTATTAGTATCAGGAATGGCCACATCTTTTCAAGTGCTGCGTAATGAAGGGAGATCACACCATGGCTGTCCTGACATCTGCCTGCTTGCTCCACAGCAGCACTGGCAGCTCTTCCCAGCTCTGCCTCTGCCTCTCTGGCTGGTAAGGTCAGGATTTGCAGAGTGGCTGGCACCCTCGAGGCAGGATAAAATTCCTTCTTAGGAAAACCTATTTGGCTCCCACACCAGAATGTCAGGTGTTAGACGTCAACTAATGCCCACCTCTGTGCGAGGCCTCCAGGTCTTGCCCTGGCTGGTTAGGGCTTGGTTTCCTCACATGAATGCTTGGGCCACTTGCTTCCCATCTGTGGTCCTGAGGCGGAGATGCAGTGCCCCTCCTGCCCAGGACTATGTGGCTGACCAGATGGCAGGCCGACTAGGAAGGGATTGAGCTCCCTGGGGCGAGGCGAGGCCCACCCCATGTGCTGCCTGGTGGCACCTCACAGTAATGGAGACTGAGGCAGCTCCTGGAGAAGCTATCCAGGCGAAAGGAAGGCAGGACCTAGCTGGCGGCATGGCAGCCTCAGGCCAGATCCAGGACAATGTGACTTTAGAATTTGAGCTCAAGGGAAACTTTATTTAGTCTTCTTTTAAAAGCAACCTATTTTGAAAGGAAGTTGAGGTTAAGAGAGAAGAACACAAAACTAAGACAAATCAGACGGACGGACAGACAGACAGGAGAAGGCAGGTGTGGCCATGGCCCTCATCAGATCTTTTCCATCTTAGAGATGAGGTCATCACAGATCCTGGTCAGCTCATCGTTTTCTTTAGTCTGAAGGAAAAATTAAAAAATGAGTTGCTGGGCTTTTACAGGATACTCAGGGGCCCTGCCCCCTGCACCTAGATAGACAGGCTGCAAGGGAGAGGCAGGCGTGGCCTTCCGTAGGCACTGGCAGCCAGGATGGGGCCTCACACCCCACCTTCTGCTCCACAGACTTCTCCAGAGAGTGGATCTGCATCTGTGCCTTCCTCAGGCTCGCCTGGTAGGCCAAGGCCTCCGCCTGGGCCTTGCTCCGGACCTGGGTGATCTCCTCGTTTGCCCTGGAAGAGGGAGGGGCAGAGGCTGAGGCTAAGGCTAAGCCCAGCCCTGCCCCACCCCTACCCATTCTGGTCCCCACCCAGCACTCACAGCCTGAGCTTCTCCTCTGCGTGGGCCTTCAGTGCCTGGTACCTCTGGCCCTCTTTCTCAATCCTCACTATGTAATCCTCTACGCACTTCTTCAGTGACTCTTCGTTCTTAGGAATGAGCAGATGAGAACTCTTTAACAGTGTGCCATTTTGTCCACTGTGCCAGGCTAAGTGGGCAGGGTTCCCTCCATGCACATTCCCAGCCCTCTGTGTACTACGGGACAGGCCCTGGACCTTCCCCCTGGGACCGAGGCCTGGCCTTCAAGTCTTCAGAATTGCCAGGCCCTGCTGAAGAAAGCAGGGGACCACCACATAGGCCCCCAGACCCACTTGGCAGGAGGACACGATGAATACTGAGGGACCCACTCAGCTTTGCTCTCCATGGCGGTCCCTAGACACAGCGAGAGGCCGACTGCTGAGGAGCAGTGACCCTAGTACCCCATGCTCCCAGCCCTTGAAGTGGCATTTAAATGGATTCCTACCTGCCACTTGGAAAGGGAGCCCCTTCAGAGTGCTCCCTAAACTCAAGCCAGCTGCCACCAGCTGTTGTGCAGGTCCCCTCTCTCTACACCATGAGTACCTGCAGCCCTGAGGCCTTGCCCCTTGCCCTGTTCCTCCACCCAATACCTGCATAGAGATGTGCTAGGGCTTTTGCTGAGGTCCCTCCTACCTCTTGAACCTGTGTCTCACAGAAGGCGTCATGTGACTCTTGCTCCCACTCACCAGCACCTACTGGATACAGTCTATCCCGTTCCCAGAACGCCACACACCCTGGAGCCAGGGAAAATCGGGCAGAGGACCCAGGCAGACCCCATTCACGGTACCATGGGCACTGACTGTGAGCCACCCACCTTGCGGTAACCTTCAAGAACCTCCTTCTGTTTCTCGAACCGCTTGAAGAGGTCAGAGAAAGACTTTTCCATGGAGTTCAGATCCATAGTGAGTTGGTCTCTTTCTTTCAGAACCTTCTGGATTTCAGCTTTGGCAAGCTCCTTCTGTTTCTGAGCCTCCTCTTGAGAAAATCAAACACTAGGACTCAGGGAGCAGCCCCTGCACTGGGTGCCACAATCAGCCACAGAACAAGAGGCAGGGCACAGCAGGTTAGATTCTGTCCATTAACCTTGCTGCTGGGATCTCTGGAGCAGGACAGGCCAGAAGCAGCTGCTGCTTCCATGCCAGCGCCTGACAGATCCTTGGAGAGAGGGCAGGGCCCCCCTGAGACCTGGAGGCTTGTGTTCAGCTTGAGGCCCATCACAGGTTGTCTGGATGTAAGGCTCTGCAGGGGGGGCAGGAAGCACCGACCCCAGCCCCCTGGGGAGGGGAGGGGAGGGGAGGGGATGGGATGGGATGGTGGGGTAGACTGTGGACTGGGTAGGCAGCATCTGTCACCCACCCTGGCAATCATGGCCCTGGCTACCAGCTCAGGGGACACAGATGGAGACACGTGGGGGAAGTACTCGTGAAGCAGCTGGCACTCACCCATTGCCTGGCACACAAGCCCTTCAAACCCGTCCATGACCTTCCTGTGGAGGAAGCATGTGATTGTCTGTGGCCACCCATGTCAGGCCATCCTGGGTGTGAGCCAAACACGGCTGCAAGCCTCACCCCATCTCCAGGTTCTTCACGCGGAGTTCCTCACACCTGCTCTTCAGCTCCAGGTTCTCTTCCTGTGTTGCGCTTACCTGAACAAGCCACATGTGGTTGGCAGGTGGGTACACCTGGCTGCTGAGTGGGTGCACCCACAGGGACCTCCCCACCCTTGAGGTCTTAAGAACCTGGTCAGGCTGGGGGCTGCCTGCTTCACGTGAATGAGGTGTGGGGTCCCTGGCTGCTCCTATGGACCTGTACCTGCCCAGTGAGCCCAACTTCATTCCAACTGGCTGTGGGTCAGGTATGTACCAGAAGCCCAAGTTAGGTGAGCCCTAGACCCACAGGGTGGGGCTTGCAGTGAAGACCAGAGGGCTGCTTGGGCACTGAGGTAGGGCAGCCTGGGTGTGTCTGGTTCAGGTGTGTATCACTGGCCCCTAAGAGGACACTGCCCTGTGGGTCACAAAAAGCTACACTGAAGCAGATGTATAGTTTGAGCCCAATCTGCCAGCTTTACTTCCTGGGCTACCTGGCCCCATCTCTGTGCAGACTAGTGAGCATAAAGGCAGCTCAGAGTGGAGCCTGAGGCACCTGGACCTTTTGTGTGACCCTGTGCACAAAGGTTCTCTAAGGTGACCCAGAACCCACAGTTAACACAGGCTGAGGTTTCTGCATATCCAAGGAGCAAGGAGAGATGGCTGAAGCATGGGATATGAAGGGCAGGGGGCTTCAGACTCCAAGAAAGTCAAGACAAGCCTTCCATCCTGCCCAGAGCCACGTCCATGGGGGCTGGGGTGCTGGAAAGGGTTTGACCCAGGATTGCAGCAGCAAGTTACTACCCTCAGCACTGAGACACTGGTGCCTACTTGCCATGGCACACTGCAGTGAGACTGCCCCACAGATAAATGCCACATCTACACGGCCATCTTCCCCACAACTGAACCCCTCCTGGGAGGCTAGGTGACAGAGGTCTTAGCTGACTGGGGACACCTGCTATCTCTGTGTAGGGATAGCTGCCTGCTTGGACCTGGAAGGACATGTGGAATCCTAAAATACTTGGGCTGCAGTGTAGGCTGAGGCCCTGCGGAGTGACTGATGTCAGCCAGGGCTAAACCAGGCCCAGCGTTGCTGCAGCAGAGATGGTTCCACCTAAAGCAGCAAGGGTAGTCAAGGTCACTGGACCCAGCAAGGAACCAGGTCCTGTGCTCAAAGCTGTCTGTGCCCAGTCCTTGGCTACTCCCCAGAATGGCTGGAGAGCTGGAGAGTAGGGGCACTGTTGGCCTGGGTCCTTACCGCTGCATCCAGGTCCCTCTGGCTGTATTGCAGGACGTCCACAATAGACCCGACAGACACAGACAGCGGTGGGCCTCCAGGCTCCAGGAGGCATGCGGGTGGGCCTGGTGCCTGGGAGGGCGATAGACAGGCTGATGGGAGCTGCCTTGCTGCCTCTAACCTCTCACCAGAAGCCAGGGCCACAACCAGACAGAGATACCCAGTGAGGGCCCCACAGCAGAGATCTCGTCTGTCATGGAATGGCCAGGGGGCCCTTGCCCCATCATCAGACCCAATGTCTTCAGACCTTCAGAAACATAAAACAGGCCCACAAGCTACCCATGTCTTTTTTTTTTTTTTTAAAGTATCTTTTGGGTTGTAGATGGACATAATACCTTTATTTTTAATGTGGTGCTGAGGATTGAACCCAGTGCCTTCCACATACAAGGTGAGCGCTCTACCACTGAGCCCCAGCCCCAGCCCCCACCCGCATATACTGAGACCACAAAAAGACTGCTCCAAAGAGACCTCGATGCTTACAGGAACATCTAACGTGCCCAAGAAATCCAACTCCACAAGCCTGGCTTCCAGCGGGTTTCCCAAGGAAGGTTCATCGGCATCCTGTGTGCTGAGACTAAATAGGCAGCAGGGTCACTGACACGTTCTCCATTGAGAAGGACAGGAGGGACAGTCACGTCCCCCCAGCCCCAATGTGAGGGATGGAGCCCAGGGCCTTGAACAGGCAGGCAAGGGCTCCGCCACTGAGCCATGCCTCCAGCCCTGATGAGACAGAATCTTACCAAGTTGCCCAGGCTGGCTTAAACCTACCAACCTCCTGCCTTGGCCTGCCAAGTAGCTGGCCCCAAAGGCATGCCACCGCACCTCATCATGTCCAGTTTAAAAAAAAAAAAAAAAGGTACCAGGGGATTGAATTTGGGACACTCGACCACTGACCACTTCCCCAACCCTATTTTGTATTTTATTTAGAGACAGGGTCTCACCGAGTTGCTTAACAGTTTGATTTTGCTGAGGCTGCCTTTGAACTTGTGATTCTCCTGCCTGAGCCTCCTGAGCGGCTGGGACTACAGGTGTGCACCACTGCACCCAGCTGCCATGTCCAATCTTAACCACACTCTGTTTTTGGTTTTCAGGTTCATAGTAGAGGATGCAGAACTGCACCTGGCAGGCTGGACATCTCTGATGAATTGGGTCCTCTCCCGTCTTGCCTGCCATCACCCACAGTGCTCTCCTTCCTGGTGTTCAAGGCCCACAGCCGCACTGTCCACAGCAGACGTGTCCAGTGGGAAGGGCCTTAATTTTGGGTCCTCACAGTACAGAGAATTCTCACAGCCAGAGGCAACAGCCCTTTCTCTTCCCTGGCTTTAAATTTCCATATCATGCTAAGTCATTCTCCTTGAAATTAGACAAATATGCCCATTTTTCTTCCAGAGCAGGGGTCAGCCCAGATTTTCTGCAGATGCCAAATAGTAAATGCTTTTAGATTTGAAGGGCACACAGCTTGTCACAGCTACTGAGTTCTGCCCCTGTAGCATAAGACATTACCCAGACCATTTGTGAGGGAACAGGTGTGACCTTGGGCCAACAAGCTTCACTTATGAAGTATATGTAGCTGAGTGCAATGGTCATGCCTGTAATCCTAGAAACTCAGGAGGCTGAGGCAGGAGGGTCACAAGTTCAAGGTCAGACTGGGCAACATAGTGTCTTAAAAAATAGAAAGGGCTGGGGATGTGGTTCAGTAATAGAGCAACTCTGGGTTCAGTACCCAGTACAAACGAATGAATAAATAAATGACTAAATAAATGAATTAAGTAAAATAGTAAAATATAGGCAGTGAGCAGAATTTGGCCACAGGTCATGGTATACTGGACTCTGTTCTATAGGATCTACTTTTCTTAATTTTAACAATTAGAGCCTTTAAAAACTTAGGGTGGTGTGTATGGTGAGGGTCAGCGGCCCCACCACATGAGACTGGCTGCAGCTCATGACCTGCTTATCTGCCACCACGACCGATTTCTAGTTCAGATCAACCCCCTTAGTCGAGAGGATTCACCTCCCTGGCCCATGTTAAAAGCTCCACAGATGAGGGGACATACCTTGTTGTCACTGGAACCACGGGCACTGGTCGCAGAGGGCTGTCTTTCAGCAGAGGGTCGAATTTCAGGTACAAGGACTGTTTCCTCCAGGCTGACTCCTTAAACTGGAGGGAAAGGGCAAGGTGACAGGCTCCTCTGCTATCCCACAGGTGCAGCCCCATGAGCTGGGCCACCTGCTTGCTGACAAGGGGCCTGGGGAAGGACACGCTTGGCCTGCTTCCAGTGTCCCTACCACTGCCCGAAGGCCACCTATCTAGCACTGTGGGTGTCTACCGGGTCTCAGCAAAGGGGCCAGGACCATAGGATGCTGGGACAAGACGCTATAGGAAAGGGGCCCCACAGAGACTCGGCCACAATGCCGGTGCTGTGGGAGTCCCAAGGGCTGAGCACCAGCACCGCACAGGGTGACAGCAGCAGGGGTGGGTCTTAGGGTACAGACCTCTGGTGAGGCTATCAGAGCCTGCCACTTACGGAGGAAGTCCCAAACTGCTCCAGGTAGTCCACCTCAGCACCTGTGCCTAGAACTGAGAGAGAGTCACAGTGGGGTCACCTCCTCACACCTGGGCCTACAGCTGTACAACGATGCTTCCCAAAGTGCTTGTTAGGGAGGGACCACAGTTCTTTGGTGAAATTAATGCAGCTAGTATTCCCAGCCATAGGCCAGAGGCTTCTCCATGTCCCGGGAAGAGCCCCACCAAGAACCTGGTTTCATGTGGTAAGCAAATCCTCTCTACACATTCAAAGCTGATGCAGTTTTTCTTTGATAATTTCCTATGCAACACTGATTGAAGGATGTGGAACCCTGGATACAGGGGCCAACCGTGTCCTCAAGTCCTACCTAACAAGAGATTGACCTCTCAGTTAACAAAAAGATACCATATTTCACCACATAGTCTTTGTAGATTTTATGTCAAAAGAGGGTTGTGACCATTTTGTGAAGCTTAAAAACATTATGCTGTTTTACTTAAAAATCATTCATTAGGGGCTGAGGCTATATAGCTCAGAGGTAGAGCACTTGCCTTGCATGTGTAAGGCCCTGAGTTCGACCCTCAACACCACATAAAATTAAATAAAGATATTGTAACCACCTACAACTAAAAAAATGTAAACCACCTAAAAAAAACCCATTTATTATCAGGAATTACAGCCTCTGGGACAAGAGTCCACTGTGTTTCTCCTTTGCTAGCAAAGCAATAAAACTTTTCCCTTTTTTCCTTTTAAACTGTGTCCTCATTATCAGATTGACATCAGGGACAGGGACCGAGCTTTCAGTAACAAATTTGGCACCCCAGGTGGGGCCCAAAAGCACCCCTCTCCAGTACTCTTGGGCAGGCCTGGCTCTCCAAGGAACCCACTTCCATGCTGAGGATTCATGTGCGGGAAACTTGTTAAGAGCAAATGCAAGAGAGTTGGGAGATGGGCGGGTATGCCTCGGGTCAAACCAGAGGAGCTGTTCCCGAGTCAGGGGAGGGACTTCAGGGGAGGGACTTCAGCAGCTGCTGAAGCTCCTTTGGCTTCAGGAACTCCTGCCTTCTCCGAGTTGTACAGGTTGTGATCCACTTTGAGAAAAAGGAAACTGAACTCAAGAAAGTCATGACAACTTTGGTCATCTGAGAGATCCTTGCCCTATGTATACTTTGTCCATTCGCCTGCCATCCGCCACTGTGGACCTCTGGACTGCTCTGATGCTGTATATCCTTAATTGTCCACACCCCACTTGATAGAGAACAAGACTTTGGTTTACTCCCCCAACTTTGCCTACTCTCAGCAGGAAGCAGCTCGGAGATGTCATCACGCGTTTTCCATAGAAATGGAATGTAGAAATTGACAGTGAGGAAATGGAACAGTGGTCACACTTTATGCTTTTAGTATAGCCCCTGCTGCTCTGCCACTGCAACTTATTTTTAAAGTGGACATGTTTCTTTCCCTTCCTCTCTCCCTGCTCTTCCCTAATCTCAGGGGAGCAGGATTACCTTTCTTCCCCATTTTAGGCAGAGTTACCTGTCCTTGAATACATACCAAACATAAGAATGAAGTAATCCAGACTTTGGGGACGGCATCAGAAGATCTCAGAAATCACTATCTTCCAAATTATCAAGTGAATTACAGCTCCAACAGAATACATGGTACATGGCCTTGAATCACCTTTTTAAAAGCCCACTGTTCCTGCTGATGAGCAGAATCACAGCCTCCAGGGCAGGAGTCCCCAGTGTTTTTTCCTTTGCTAGCAAAGCAATGAAACTTCCTTTTTCTCAAACACACACACACCCCACAAAAAAACCAACAAAACCAAAACCATTTATTACTAATAGCCAGGCACGGGGATGCACATCTATAATCCTAGCGCCTGTGGAGGTGGGGTAGTTTGAGCTTAACCTTAGCAACTTAGCAAGACCTTGTCTTAAAAAGAAAACCGGGGATGTAGCTTAGTGGTACAGCCCCCCTGGGTTCAATCCCTAGTCCAAAAGGAAAAAAAAAAAGCCATCATTACCAAACTGTCCTTGGTACAAAGTTAGGATGCATGGAATGCTTTTGAATGTATGTTAAAATTGTAAAACTGAATAATCCAAATCACTGCACATCATTTTTCCCTGACAGTTTAGTAAACATTTTTCTTGTTTGGGGAAAGTAAAATATTAGTACATCAGTTTTACTGATTTGTGCACTCTACTGAAAATATTACACTTGAGAAAATTTACTACAGTGTTGCAAACCATGGACTTGGTTGTTAGGAACTAAACAGTCTTCAGTGCCACTCCTGTAAGCCCTGTCTGCCATTAGTGCAGAAGCCTCTAAACAAATCACACACAACTTTAGGTCTGTTTAGACAAAGCACAGGTGCCGAGAACTCTGGGCCCATGGCTCAGTGTGCATGCAGACGCCGCTGCTTGGCTCTCTAATGTGGGTCAGCACTGCTACTGAACCACATCCCACTCTCTTCTCACTGGCCCGACGGACAGTTAAACCATTGCAACTATTGTTCAACGTAGGAAACGTAATATTATTTTCAATATTAATAATATTTATGTGGTGGCAACAATTATACAGTTAAGAGATGGTAACCAAATATAAAAAAATGAGCAAATGATGTGAAAAGACATTTTGTCCAAAAATACACAAAAGGCAACGAGCACATGGGAAGGTGCTCAAAAGATGTTTGCTAGCTGTCTGGGAAACATGAGCCAAAACCATCATGAAAATCCCTTTCACGCCTGCCAGGAGGCTGGAACCTGTAAGAGATGACAAGCACTGGAGGGGCTGTGGAGAAATGGGGCCCTCCTGAGCCACAGACATGAGTGTAAAATGGTGCAGCCACTTAGGAAAACCGTCTGGCAGTTCCTCAAAAAGCCACATATAGTTACCAGCATCCAGTAATTACACCCCCAGGTAGGCACCCAAGAGAAACGACCCAGACCCATGCACACACTTGTGTAAGAGCATGCAGAGTATTGTCACTCTTCTTTACCCTCCTGATGCTGGGGATTGAACCCACAGCACTCACCACTGAGCTGCCTCCCTAGCCTTTTACTTTTTGAGACAGGGTCTCATTAAATCACTCATGCTGGCCTTGAATTTATTACCCTCCTGCTTCAGCACCCTGAGTAGACGGATTTATAGGGGTGGGCCACTGTGTCCCACTAGTAGTGTTACTCATAAGAGCTAAATAGCAGAAATCATCCAAGTGCTTTATCAATGAACAAATATAAAGCACGCATCCCTGCCACACCAGATGAGTCCCAAAGGCCTTAAACTTGGTGAAGAGACCAGGCACAAACGCCACGGCACATGTGACTGTAGGTCCCAGACTTCTTGACCAGGCCACAGTAGCCAACAGGGAGCTCTCACCAGCTGCCTTCCATCCTTCAAGCGACGTAGTCACAAGTTCCCACTGGCTGCATAGGAATGCCGTCTGTCAGAGGGTACCCAGTTGCTCATCACTCATTGGATCTCACCTGTGCATTACTTTGTTCACATCTTTTGCCTACTTTGGGAATCCACAATTTATATGTCTAGGGTCCTCTATCGTAAAAGTATTATTTATTCTACTGAAAATACCTTATCTTTTGATGGACCAGAAGTTTTTATGATAAACACTTAAAATCGGGAAACAGACACCTGTAAATGATACAGCTAAACCAAGAGACAGAACAGAAATGTCCACAGGACAGCTTTCGAGCAAACAGAGCAATACCAGGGCTGCGTACCCTCAGCTGGGTCCCTGAAGCACTCCTCCTCCAGGTCCGAGGCAGGCTCCAGTCCCTGATGAGGAGGGGCGGGCATCAGTTGAGCAGAGGGGGCTGTCAGCTCATTCTCCAGACAGTTCTTGGGAGCCAAGCTTCCTTTCTACAGGGAAGGTCAATGTCATCTCACGCAGCTGAAAACCCTCGTTAGACTGTCTCACCCAGTCTCAAAACACACCAGAAGGAAAGGAGGCTTTGGGAAAGAGGGGTGGGCAGCAGTGTATCCAGCCTGATGACAGAAGATTTCACTGGCCTCTTCTGCCCTCCATGTAAATGGCTGCATAGTATAAGGATGCACCTATGTACACACATACACACTGTACCTTGTCCTCTGCTCTTGGGGTCTCAGATGCCATCTGTACCACAGGTATGTCACTGGTTGGGGCCGAACACAGCTGCCTGGAGAGAGAAAGTCAGCAGAGGCTGGTGTTCACCGCATTCCCCACTCCAGCGCTGAGCTGCCACCTGCCTATCTCCTGCACTGCTGTGCTGGTTCACCTGAGAAGGTGTTCATGCTAGAGGTGCATCAGCGTGACTTGAGGAAGTCACCCTAGAGGAAACAGGCTGCGTATGGTGTTGGAATAATGGCACTCAATACAGGTCATGGCTGCCCCCTGAAGGGACATGCCCAGGGACAGTGCTGTGCCATGGTGCTGGCTTTACCGCTTATCACCTGGTGGTAGGCTGTTCTTTCTCTTTTTTAAGCCGAACACATTCTATTGCATATCAGCTGAGGCAGCTCCCAGCACCTGTGCTCCCCCCAGCAGCCCCCCCCCCCAGTTTGGTTCTGAGCCCCGAGGCCCTTTCTTCTAAGGTGCTGTGAAGGGACAAGTGGCAACTTTGGATTCAGGTGCTTGGTCACACACAGAACAGCTGCCCGACATGCCTTCCCCATACTCACTGGCTTGAAGGAGAGTCCTCCTGGGTTGCGGGTCTGACACATGGTTGCTCAGCCACAGGTGGTGCTGACCTGATTGCTGGGCTTTCTGGAGGCCAGGCCTCTTTGCCATCAGGCTTGGAGCCACCTCCTAACGGGCTGAAATTTGGGTCACCTAGTTTGTTCCAGCCAAGGAGAGAGTCCTGGGGAACAGGCTCAGGGCCCTCGCCTCCCTCTGCTGCCTCCTGAGGGGCCTGGTCCTGCCTGCCCTTGGGTTTCTTTCCCCGTCTCCCAGGTAGAGCCAGCCTTCTACTGGTGGTTTCATTAGAGAAATCGAATTCTAGTCTTATGGGCTCACACCTTGGCAGGACAGTCATTTGGCCAATGGCCTCTTCCTTCTGAGGACTTGGGTTTGTGGCCCCATCAGTCTGCAGAGGGCCAGCTGGGGCTGAGTTCTCAGGACCAGATGAATAGATGTGGGGAGAGAGGAAGGCACTGGCTGCTGGCTCAGGGGAGCCTGGGGTCTCACTAGCCAGGTCTATGGGGAGGGCCCCTCCACATGGACTCTCAGGGCTGGTACCAGGTGAAGTAGCCATGGCTGAGGCAGTGCAGTGTGAACTTTCTGCAGGGGCTCGGGGAGGGGTCTCCATCTTGTGTTGAGGTGCTGTCCCCAGAGGATCTTCTAGGGTCTCAGAGGTGGATGGCATCCTTCCAACTAAGAAATGAGAGCTAACACTTTCCTTTGAGGCTTGACCCGGACTGTCAGACACTTGTCTTGGAGACAACATCTGGTTTTCAGGACTTTCTGGGCCCTGGGAAGAGCTTAAGGAGCTTGGATCAGCCAGGGTGGCCAAGCTGGGTTTTTTTGAGCCATCATTATTTTCAAACGCTTCAAACCTAATGTTTCCTGGAGGAAGGTCAATATCGGCCACTGCTTCTGCCTGGAGAAACCCATTTATAGCTTTGGTGTCCACTTCCTTGGTAATCTGTTGGCTTCACAGAAACAGACTGGTTAACGCCAAGGGTCCTAAGCTTTTCAACAAGATTTCAGTCCACATGGAGAACATTACCAGAAGACACAAGAATGTTTGGCTAACTCTTTCCTCTTGCTTAAATCTTACTAAGTCCATGTTCATAGGATAGTGCATCAGGGCACACACTGGCTCAGAGTAGAGACACGATAAGCCAGCAGTCCCAGTGAAAGCTTTCTCACTTTTTCCTCTAATGTGGGGATTAGAGCTAAGTGGCTGGGGGGTCAAAGCACACATGGTTCCAGCTTTTCACAGGGAAAGGGAAATTAAGGTCAGGAATGCTGCTTTCAGACAGTTGGCTGCCGTGGAGAACATCAGGGTGCAGAGGGCAACTCCCAAGGGATCTGCTGTCCCTGTCGTGCCTCATACCTAAGAACAAGGGTGGCAGAGAGCAGGGTGATGGAGCCACAGAGCCTCTGACAGGCAGGAAGGTCTGTCAGGACAGTCAGCGGATGGAGGGTAGGGCTGGGGACTGAACTACAGTGCAAGAGGGCACAGTGCCATTTTGGAGCAAGTGTTATGTGATCTTGGATCACTCAAAAGAGGCCAGCCTCAGCATTTCAGTGACTCAGAGAAGGGACTCTGATTATAGCCCTATTCTTTTCTCCAAATTTGAAAGCATTAAAATTAAGAAATTGGGATAAGGAACTTCTCAACTCCTTCGACTGCTCACAGCTATGCTCCTCCCTCCCAGGTTGCCACCTCAACACACTAGGATAATGTTTGGCCAGCCACTTTCTGCTCTCCCCAATAAATACATGTCCCCACCATGTAACTCAGCAAAGTATCAGGAAGGAGATGAATGGAAACAGGGCAGTAACACCACGCCTGAGACCCTGATGACAAGCTCACAGATGAAGCTCATAGCCAACTTCCAGCTCCTCTCCACCTCCTGGCCTATGGCCAGTTGCTAGGCAGCCCCAGAGACACAGGGCAGGGGCAAGAACCTTCCTGGCTTCAAAGCAGGCCAGATTCATGGCAGCCAAGTGGCAAGTCTTCCTTCTTAAAATTGTCAAAGATCATGAGATTTACTCTGATCTCATCTGACCAAATTTCAAAAAGTATAAAATCATGTTGAAAAGTAGCAAGGACATATGGGAAAGCAGTAGATTCAGGTTGGGAGATGGGTCCACAGGGTGGAGATAGCACATGGCCCAGAGAAATATCTTCATCTATTAGTGACATTTTATTTAAATCAGGTGAGAAGCACAGCAGTGATATTTCTTAGGCTTTTTTCTATACACATGTGAAATCTGTTTAAAAGTTTTGAACAGTTAAATATGCAAAAACCAGCACAAAATTGTGCTAGTGAGGTCTCTTCCTGCTCTGGACATGGACTTGTCCCTGGGGTCAGGCAGGTGGAGAACTGCTCGGGCTTTGCCTGGAAGCAGCTCTAGTCAGTCATTTTGATAGGTTGGTGGCCCAACAGCTAAGCCTAGCACCCAAAGGTGCTGGTCAAGTGTTTTGTCTTGATCCCTTTGGCCACACATGTGCTCTGACTAGTGTACCATAGGACAGTTTCTCTGCCTATGAGCCTCCCCTGCTCTCTGCAAGTGCCGACTTTCAAGCAGAAGGAAATAAGCAAAATATGAGAGGAAGGACACTGTTGATTCCCTGGAGACAAAGTCAGAACATTTAACCAAATTACAGAAACAAAGACCAACTGGCAAGGGCACAGCAAAGAAGTGAAGCATGAAATCAAAACTTTTTCTAAGTACCTGATAATTAACTTTCTCCTGACAGGCCACATCCTGCATCTGCTCAGAGCAGAGATCAGGAGAAAGCCAGCCTAGAGGAGACAGAGCACTCCTGCAATGCTCCTCAGGTAGCAGAGTTGTAGATATGCAAGGACACCAGCACTTACTTCTCTTTCTGTATCCAGGTGTAGTGAGAGTCTTCTAATACAATGCTATTATCCAGAGCAAAAGGAGTCTCAGATTTGCTAGTCATATTAGGACTTAAGATCCTGTGCGTCTGTGGATCTCGCAGAGGTGTCTGAAAAGTCACCTGTGGGAGGGTGAAGAGAGTTATCTCTTCCATGATGCAGTTCCCCATGACCACGCTGGCAGCACCATGCAGCTCAGGGCTCCCCACTCACCTTTGCAGCTTTGGCCTGGTTTCTAGGTGGCACATTTTCCTTCTGTGACGGACGAAGGACAGATGATCTTCCGGTAAGTTCTGGTGGTGAAAACAGGAAGTCACAATTCTCTGTACTTTTTTCACTGATGGCATTTTCGTCATTTAAGACCTGCAGACTCATTCTGAAAAAGGAAAATGTTTTGTATCAATATGAGGGCAATGACACTGTCATCTGCATAGACACATCCCAGGGACAGAGCTGCCCCACAGTGCCACAAGAAGTCTTCCCTCCTGCAAAGGTGGGCAGAGTCTTAGAGTCTCCATTCTGCTTCAGGCTGCACTGCCACCTTCTGGACCAAGCGCTGACAGGGCTCATGCTGACAGAACCAGTGCTTAGAGACTGCACCAGGTGTATCACACTGTTGGGCAAAAGCCAGAGTACAGAAGGTCCTAGTCTTTAAGAAGAATTAAGAGCCAGAGGAAGCCTCAGGTTACACATGAGCCTCTCAATGTGGTATAAAGCAAAAGTAACAGTTGTAGCTGATTCTATAGGAAAGCAGCACTAGTCTGTACCCCTCCTACTAGGCAGGAGAAGGGAAGGACTAGGGTATTTGCAGGCTGGAAGCCAAGAGAAGGCAATCCAACAGGAAAAAGAGATACTCAGTAGGTGCCAAGAAGGGCCCTCAGGCCCAGAAGATTCTAAAATGGCTCCATTTCTACTCCCCAGGTCCTCATGTTGGTCACTCACAAGACACAGATTTCATTTACAGCATAAGCAATTCAGGTGTAACCAAAGAACCAAGTATCTACCTGCCCAAAAGGACTCCATGGGTACATGGTTCTGTTAGAGCCCTGGAAGTTTAGTTTGAAGAGCAAGAAGGGAGGCAGAGAAAGAGGTCAGCACAACCAGTACCAGAGGTCCTTGCTGTCTCAACTTGAAAAGCCCACTATGGAACTGTGAGTGGATGGACAGGGAAGGAAGTGATGAAACCAGAATCTCCTGCAGGCTACAAAAACAGGTGCAAGTGGGAAAACAGAAGTAAAGGGCAATTTAGGTTTTTGGTCTGAAAAACTGGGTTACTTGTCAGGGAGTACAGAAGACACTGGATGACTGTGGGAGGCACAAGCTTAGGACTCTGGGACATGCGGACCTAGAGGAAGCCTTTGCAAGAGGAAAGTGGGAGAACAGTCAGCTCATTCTTCTCAGGTGGGACCATGAAGGATGGAAAAGGCTCTTGAGCAGAGTATGAAAAGCCAGGATTGTGTTTTGATGCCCTCTGTGTGCAGAAGTGACTGCTGAGTAGGGGACAGAGTATAAGGTACACTGGGGTCTTGCGACTGCACCAGTCCCATCAGAATCAGCATCTTAGGGAGAGCAGGTTAGGGTCCAGGTGTTCATGGGAGGTGGAAAACCTGGAGTTGGTGATGGCCCTCAGGTGAGGAACAGGAGAAAGCATGAAGGATGACCCCTGGAAGGCAGCTAAGCAACCCTGCTGCTAGGGAGCGCAGCAGGAGCTGGTGGGGATGAGATATCCTGCTTACAGCTATCAGAAGAGGGGCGGCGACTCCGCAGCTGTTCGAAATCAAACACTTAAGGCTACAAGCACGCATTTGTGAGTCAGCCTCCAGGTGACACTCCAGGCAAGATGAGGTCACCTGGGGGCTGGAGCTGAGGAAGAAGACAGCTCGGGCTACTGCTTCCGGGAGGACGCCGCCCGCCACGTCTGGAGGCCGGCAAGAGCGCTTCCGAAGCGGCCGCCCGCTCCGAGTTTCCGAAGCGCCGCGAGAGCCCTCGCAGGGAGCCGGGAAGGGGCGCAGAGCAGGCGCGGCCAGAGCCCTCGGGGCTCAGGAGGAGCCTCGCACGCGCCGGGACCCCGCCAGGGAAGGCGGGCTCGGGGCCGGCGCCGCCGCAGGATCCGGGTGGGGGTCCTCGAGGCTGGGACTGCGCCCTGCGGCCGCCGCCTACCTGTCCGCCGCCGCGCCCGCCGCGCGGAAGGAAGAGAGCCGCCCTGGCTCCGCGCAGGCAGCCGAGCCAAGAAGCCGCGCCGAGAGGACCCAGTAGCCGCCGCCTCCCAGCCCGCGGTCGCCGCCCGCCGCGCCCGCGGATTCAAATACCGACGGTTGGCGCCACCCGGCCAATCAGCGTGCCGCCGGGGGCGGGCCCACAGGGCGCCGGGAACCAATGGGAGGGCACTCTGGCCCCACCGCTCGCGCACCGCCCGTTCTGCTTCCGGTACCTTGGGACCGCAGAAGCCGTGGCCCCAAGCTGGAGACGGGGCATTGCCCACGAGTTTCGGGCTTTGTTGCGCACGAGAGCGTGCAGCGCGGCATAGCCGGGGCCAGAGAGGCGCTCGCTGTGGCCTGTTTTCTCGCCTGTGAAGTGGGGCTAGGTGCAGCCCCCCTCTCCAGGGCTGCTCGTGAGGAGGCCCATACCATTACGGGGACTTGCAGGGCGACTAGAAACTTCCGTCCCGGCGCCTTGCTGGGGGCAGCTGGGCAAAAAACACAACCTCCCAGAGTGCCTCGCGGGCGGCCCGACGCGGACTCGCTCTCCCAGAGTGCCCCGCGGGCGGCCGGGCGCGGACTCGCTCTCCCAGAGTGCCCCGCGGGGGGCCTGGCGTGGCCCGGCTTGGCCTGGGAGGCTGCTACCGCTAACTGCCCGAGATCCGACGCTCTGGCTTCTTCCCCGTTCTCGGGGTGGCGGCGCGATGGACAGCCCCGAGGTGACCTTCACGCTCGCCTACCTGGTCTTCGCCGTGTGCTTCGTGTTCACGCCCAACGAGTTCCACTCGGCCGGGCTCACGGTGCAGAACCTGCTGTCGGGCTGGCTGGGCAGCGAGGACGCCGCCTTCGTGTCCTACCACTTGCGCCGCACGGCCGCCACGCTGTTGTGCCACTCGCTGCTGCCGCTCGGTGAGCCCCCTGTGCGCGGGCGGGGCTTGCTGCGAGACCTCGGGGTGCCCAGTCGCCCCGCCCGGCCCGGCCCTGCAGCCGGTCAGTGCGGGTGGGGAAGGCGACCGGCACAGTCGGGTTCGAGTCCTGAACCGTCATGGTGGCTGGGGTTCAGGATCGCGCTACTGTGCCTGCCGTGGGGGAGGGCGCCTGGGCGAGGTGCCCTGGAAGATGAGTGTGGGGAGAGTCGGCGCGGATGGGCAGCTCGAAGTTGGGGGCCATGTAGATGCAGAGTTCTCTGCCAGGCCAGGACACTCAGGAGCTGTCCAGGGCAGTGCTGAGCAGTGACCCAGCTGCTAGTGGGGTCTCTGGGAGGCGGGGCTGTCAGTCGGTTAGAGGATGGATTTGGAGAGCGTTGGGGCACATTAGGGAACTAGGCAGGAGTTCTTTGGCACTGGGAGAAAGAGGTCTGGGAGGACAAACGGCAGTGCCACGTCTGCTGCTCTGTGGACACCGGTGGAGTTGGGTAATGGAGAGCTGGAGGCACCCAGACCTACCTCCAAGGGAAGGAGGGCTGAGGGGAGTCCGCTAGAGAGATGAAGATGGGACTGCTGTGGCAGTTGGTTTCTTGCCCTGATGACCCCGTGTCCTGTGAGGCAGATGAGGAAAGTGGAGCAGACTTTCTGACCATGTTGCTCCCTTGAAGGATGTGGGGTGGGTTTCTGAAGATCCTGTACTTGCACCCTCCTCAATGGGCACTCCCTTTGCACCAAAGGAAAGCTGGGCACGCAAGTCTTTCATGGAGAACATACCTATAGCAGACAGCAGAGCTGGCCTTACAGCCTGTTGTCTCACCAACTCGTGTTGGCAACTTTCAAAAAGCTTCCAAGTTTCATAGATGTTAGTTATCTATTGCTACATAAGTTATCTTAACACATAGGGATTTGGCCAGAATAAACATTTACTGTTTTGTTTGTTTTTTGCAAATGGGAGCCTGCCTGTGTAGTCCCTTACCATCTACTTTGTTATTCATTCTGATGTTTCCATTGTGTGGATGTGGCAGTAGGGCCCTGGAGCTAGTTCCTTTGTCCTTGCAACATACTTCATTATTCTTTCTGTACTTGTTCACCTTTTTGTTTTGGTTCTAGGGATTGAACCCAGCAGTGCTTTACATTTAAGCTACATCTCCTCCTCTTTTTAAATTTTGAGACAGGATCTCACTAGAGTGTTTAGGGCCTGCCTTGCTAAGTTGCTGAGGATGGCCTGGAACTTGAGGCCCTCCTGCTTCAGTCTCCTGAACTACTGGGATTACATGCATGCACTGTTGTACCTGGTTTGTTTATATTTTTGCATAAATTGTCCCAGCTCTGGGATGGGTGTTGTCCGATCTGCCTTCTCAGGGTGGAATGGAAAGACCAAGATCTGACCCAGGTAGCTACCCCTAGGATCAGCCTTGTGACAAGGTCTTTGTGTTTACTTTTGGTTTTCTAGTCTGTGTTTTTTTTTTTTTTTTCAATACTCTCATGTAAAACTAAAGAAGTAAATTGAAAACCTTCCCCCTAATGTGGTGTGGAGGTATAGGAATGGTGAAGCCCACCTGTCCTGGTAGCTGGCCAGGCCCAGAGCTAGTGTCAAGAGAGGATGTAGTCACTCCCCTCTGCCAGCCGAAGGGCAGCACTGTGACCTCCAGATGGCCACTGCAAGAGGAGGATGGCACCTGACAGCTCCAGCTTCCCTGAGGCACCTTCTCCTTTGCAGGCTACTATGTGGGCATGTGCTGTGCGGCTTCAGAAAAGCGACTCTACTCCCCCAGCCATGCCCCAGAGGCCTGGCAGCTCTTCCTCCTGCTGGCTGTGACCCTCCCTTCTGTTGCTAGCATCCTGATTTACTACTGGTCCCAGGACCAGTGGACCTGCCATCCATTGGCCCGCACCCTGGCCCTCTATGCCCTCCCACAGTCCGGCTGGCAGGCCGTGGCTGCCTCCATCAACACTGAGTTCCGGCGGATTGATAAGTTTGCTACTGGTGTGCCAGGTGCCCGTGTAATTGTGACAGACACATGGGTGATGAAGGTTACCACATACCGTGTGCACGTGGCCCAACAGCAGGATGTACACCTGACAGTGACAGAGTCTCGGCAGCATGAGCTCTCACCAGACTCAAACCTGCCTGTGCAGCTCCTCACCATCTGTGTGGTCAGCGCCAGTCCTTCTGTGCAACCCTTTGATATCCGGTAAGTGTGTGGTGGCTGCGGTCTGCTGCAGGGTGTGGCCTTCATTGCCCCTTGGGAGGCACTGGGTGTGGTGGTGAATGCTGCAGCACTCCTGGGGTCTGTGTGCTATGGGTCATCTGACCTTCCAGCATCACCCTCCTTCAGGGATCTTGCTGCTCTCAGCTTCCCCATGTGCTGCTCCTTCTGCTCTCTAAGTTTCTACAGTTTCTTGGAACACATTTAATACAGCCCAGGACCATGATTTGGTGTCAACTTGGCTCCCAGCTTCTCCCCTCCTGGCTTTGGGGGTGAGTTTATAGGATCTGGCCTTAGGACCATCATTGTTGGCTGCTGTCCTGGGCACCCTTCAAGGCAGCTGGTTTCCCTGGACCCTGCCTGCCTCTGGGTCCTGGCTAGCGCCAGGTCAAGGCCCCTCAGGCAAAGGAACCCAACCCAGCAGGCTGCATCTCCTGCAGGCTGAACTCGACAGAATATGGCGAGCTATGTGAGAAGCTCCGGGCACCCATCCGCAGTGCCGCCAACGTAGTCATCCACCAGAGTCTGGGTGACCTATTCTTGGAGACATTTGCCTCCCTGGTGGAGGTCAACCCAGCCTACTCTGTGCCTAGCAGCCAGGTAAGTGCTAGCCTGAGGGGAGGGTTGGATGGACCTCACAGAACATGTCACCAGGCTCTTACAGCTCCCTGTGCAACCCCTGCAGGAGCTGGAAGCTTGCATTGGTTGCATGCAGACACGTGCCAGTGTGAAGCTGGTGAAGACATGCCAGGAGCCTGCCGTAGGCGAGTGCCAGCAGTGCTACTGCCGCCCCATGTGGTGTCTCACCTGCATGGGCAAGTGGTTTGCCAGCCGCCAGGACCCCCAGCGCCCTGACACCTGGCTGGCCAGCCGTGTGCCTTGCCCCACCTGCCGAGCTCGCTTCTGCATCCTGGATGTGTGTACTGTGCGCTGAGCTTCCCAGAGGATGTGGGTAGGGCCTTGGAGATCTGGAATGGACTCTGTGGCCCTGCCAGCCACTTGCCCCTGCCAGGGAGTGGCCATACCTCCCTGGCCTTGGCATTGGGCTCTATTCAAAGCACATGACCTGAAGCCACTCTGCCTTGAGCCTACTGTATGTTGAGGATATTTGTCTAAAAGAAATTTCATCAGAGATACTCTATCCACAGGGACTTCTGCACTTTGTCTTTCTGGCCACCTTCCTCCAGGTGAGGGCAGGTACTGAAACTGAGAGCATTCCAGGGCCTCCAGAACCTAGGACTGCCTTGATGACCTTCACCTGGCCACTTTGCCTTAACTTTACCAAGCACATCTATCCCTCAATTATGAGCCAGACTCATGTCCGTTCACCCAGGCCCATTCTCTGGCCCATGTCCTGGAGCTGGCTGCTGGCTCTGGTGTTGGGACACCTTCCCCAGCCATGGATACTGCTTGGAATACTTGAGGTGGAGCCCAACTGTGGAAGTGGAGATTTGGGGTGCCACTGTAGTGTGAAGGTCCAAGCTGGGGCATTTTGGTGGCTGCAGCCTGCTGAGAGGCTAGTCCTGGATGAGGAAGCAGGAGTAGCAAGCTGGGGTCAGTCCACGATGCCTCCACTCACTCCTGGGGGCCACCTAGCACCTGGAGGGTATTCACTGTGCCCTGGTGTATTTGGCTCCCATGGTCCACAGAAGACTGAGGCATCAGACTTGGCCCCAGGACAGCAGGGAGGATGTTGAGCCACAGGGACATCCAGAAGTCAAGCCCACCAGGGACAAAGGATAGGGCCAGTCATTGACTCTGAGTCTGCCTGGTTCTGAAGAGGTACTCCCAATGGTCAAAGTTCTGATGGGCATGCTGCCCTACTGATGATTTGATGGTTCAGGTTGGAGGGGAAGAAGTCACCCCCCACCAGCTCTGACACAGTGGTTGCTGGAGGGAGGCCCTCACATCTGTGCCCTACACCTTGCTGTTTCAAGCAGGCATGAAGGATCCAGCTAGCCCTACTTATCCAAGGCTGAGCCTAACCCCAGGAGGTTTTCCAGCAGAGCAAGCTGTTTTGGGGAATGGGGATTGGTGGCAAGGCCAAGAGCCAGTCACAGAATTTCAAGGGCTGCCTAGGAAAGGCCAGCAATTTGGGGGTTGTTTTTACCAAAAAAGGAAGTTTGTTTTATACAGATAAATGTAGCTAAATGATACTGTACTTAATAAAATATTAGTTTGAAGTGCTGTGCTTTATTTTACTTTTGATATTAAAGCCAACTTTTGCTAGGTGCTAAGGCCCATGCCTGTAATCCTAGTGACCAGGGAGGCTGAGGCAGGAGGATCACAAATTTTTAGGCCAGCCTCAGCAATTTATCAAGGCCCTATCTCAAAATGAAAAAAAGTAAAGGGCTGGGGATGTAACTCGGTGGTAAAGTGCTCCTAGGTTCAAGCATCATTGCTGGAAAAGAAAGCACCAAGCTTTTGTCACAGTTGGGGTGATGGCTGGAGAATATTAGGAAAGCTCTCGCACACTGATCGTTGTGCAGTGTTCAAGACAAGAAGGAATGAACGTGTTCCTGGTGTAGGAACTCAAGGGTGGACAGAGTGAGACCCATCTGCCTTAGCCTGCGGATGACCTTTTTGAGTTGGAAAGGGAGGGCCCGGCATCAGTCTCCATGGCTGCCCCTGGGCAGCAGATGCCAAAGCCCAGCCCTCCGGGTGTGGGAAAAGGACTTTGGAGCTGGGCACAGCCTCTTTGGCCTCTGCTTCCGCTGCTGCTTAGGCGGAATGCGCGAGGACAGCACGAGGTCTGGTGCACTTACCCTCCTTCGGCCCCTAGCCAGGTACAGGGTGGACCGGTTCCTGAAACCTACCACTATTATGCCCGGGGGCGCTAGAACTGGGGCCCAAAGCCTCGGTGAAGCAAGCAGGCCGGCGGTGCCATCGCTGCTGCCTGCATCTAGGGTTGCTAAGCCACTGAGCTACATCCCCAATCCTTGTTTATTTTGCGACAAGATTTCGCTAAATTGATGTTTGACTTTGAACTTGGGGTCTTCCCTGCCTCAGCCTCCCAAGTCGCTAGGATTACAGGAGTGCGCCACCACGCCAAGCAACGCCAAAGTTTATAATGGCTTAAAACCAAAGACTAGAAACCCAAAACCCAAGGCGGCCGTAGGATCTGCGGACCAAAGCCAGGCCGTACTTTCCGGGTTCCCGCCAGCGCGGAGACGCGCCCCCTGCCCGGACCAAGCCAATCAAAAGCCCGCTCCTTTGGTCGGGACCAATCATTGGAGCGCCCGCTCTGGCGGACCAATAGAAAGGCAAGTCGCACCGTCTATTCCGTGTGGCCACCGCGCGCGCGTCGAATCTCCCGCCAAGACCCTTCCGCCCGCGAAGGCGCGACCAATCAGCGCCCGAGCAGCCGCGGAGACGGCCGTCTGGAAGCCAGAGGGGGGTATTCTGTTCCTCCGCCTCTTCTCAGCTAAGCCAGTGGCGTTGGCTCGCATTCTTGGGCGGTAGCCTCCGGCGGCGAGGTCCCACGTCTCCGCCCGGCCCTGGGGCCTGGGCCCAAGCCTTGTCCTCCCGCAAGGAACACGTAGCGGAGCGGGGATCCCCCGCCGGCGCGGACCTGGTGGTGTCTTCCGACCCCGCGCGCGCGGGAGCTCCGAGGGCGGGGCAGCGCGCACAAAAGGGCGGTTGGGGGCGGGGCGCGCGCAGAGCCTGTTCGCGCCGGCGCCGATCACGCTGACGCCGTCCCTGCCGCCATGGCTTGTCGGCCGCGAAGCCCGCCTGCCTACGGGAGCCGCCGCGACCGCGGCGCTAGGTGAGTGGGCCTGTGATGGGGTCTCGGGCCTGGCCGTGTGCGGCGCGGCGCGTCCCGGGGCCTGGCTGGGTGTAGGCTGGGTCCCCGCCGCTGACCGCGATCTCTTGTCTCCGTAGCCCGTCGTCCCCTAAGAGATGGAGCCTCGGGCGGAAGCGCAGAGCGGACGGGAGGCGCAGGAAGCCCGAGGACGCGGAGGAGGGCCAGCACCCGGCTGATGACCGCAGACCCGCGAGGTGGGCCTCGCAGAGTGCATGCGACGTGTTGCGGGGGCTGGTCTGTGTGCCCCGTTAGGCGGCGTCAGGTTAGGCAGGCGGGCGCTGGGTCCCTTGTCTCTGCTCCAGGCCCGGGAAGCATCCTCTCCGACAGGTTGCTGCAGAACCGGTTTCAGCCCGAGTTGATCACTTCGTGAACCTCTGGTAAACCCTGAGACGGTGCTGGGAGCTACTTGAGGATATTTCTTTAAAAATGATCTAATAACAAGCTGACAAACTATGTCAGTTGGGTTTTACTTTGAGCAGATTTTGCTAAGGTATGTTACACCGGAGTAATAGAGATGTTACGTAAAAGCCAGGATGAAAACCAAAAGTTAAGCTCCAGGTAGCTCATCTTTTCCACGCTGGTGCACCCCGGAGTCTTGCCATTTTATGGCCTGTTTGGTGTCTGCTTGGCCCAGCATTTTCTAGGTTAGGCACTTCTGGGAAGGTCAAGATGTGCACCAAGCAATGTCGCTTGGGACTTGGACAGCAAGTGGAACAAGATAGTCCAGAGGGACCAGGAGTACCCGAGGAGAATGAGCTGGTGATGGGCTGCTCAGGGAGAACTTCTTGAGGGACTCTGGTGACTGGATGAAATGGGAAGTGATCCCTGTACCACATTTTATTCCTAGGCTTTCAGGTGGGCTTGAGTGGCCTGAGAGCTGACTAGAGGACAAGGACAAGGCTGCTACTGAGCTGTATGAAAGGACATGGTGATTAGGCCAGATGGGGGTAGCAAGGTGGTGGGGAACACTTGTTTAGTGTGGGCCCTTGAAGGCAGGACCTGGAGGATTTGTTGATGGTTTGGGGGCTAGAGGAAAGAGGAGTCAGGGTGACTTGAGCCTTCAGGCCTGAGTACCTGTGTTGACTCCGGAGTCTTTTGCCCAGGATGAGCAGATCTCCTGTGGGGAGGGACTCAGGGATTAGGCTAGAGGAGGCACAGTGTGAGTCACCAGTACGTATAGATAATGTTTAAAGACTTGGAAGAGGGGTATGAGCAGGAGCCCTAACTAGTTCTAGGCTAGGTAGAAACGGGAGGCAACAAAGCCTTACTGAGATCAAGCTCTAAACCTTTCCCAGTTAAATCCTTACAATGTCTAGAATGCCTGATATCTGGACTCAAACCCTCAAGCAGATAGGTCAGCTGCACAGCCTCATTCCACCAACGTAAAAGGAATACTTCTGTCCCTGGGCTTTTGCACTTGCTGTGTGTGCACTAGCTGTATCTCCATGCTAGTCATGTTGGGGTAGGCAAGAAGTGGTCCCTTTGGGAAGAGGTTAGTTCAGTGTATAAAATAGGCTTTGTTGTTTTCAGATGGGGTAAATTGGGCATCCAATCTGCCTTGTCAAAAATGTTCTTTAGAGGCTGGGATTGTAGCTCAGTGGTAGAGCGCTTGCCTAGCACGGGCAGGACCTGGGTTCGATCTTCAGCACCACATAAAGGCATTGTGTTGTGTCTGTCTATACCTTAAAAAATAAGTAAACTTTTTAAATGCATCACAAAAGGTTCCAAAATATGAGAGGTGGCATAAGATCGCTTGTGCATACTCTTTAAGCTATCCTTGTGGGGGATCTGGAGACCCAGACCTGGACCTCTTGCTATACCACTTGAGGGCTTTGCAGCCTATGGACAAGCCTCCCTATGCTTTACTCTGTATTTACAATACAGCTATTGAACCAGATTAAATTGTACTTTATTACTTGTTTTGATTTCAGGCTTTCCTGACCATTTTTAAAATTTAACTTAAGGTTCTCAGGGGTGACTATGAGGGAAGAAAGTTACATAAATAAATTATTGTTGCAGTTATGTTTTCCAAAACATGCCATTTGATTTGTGACTATAACACCTGAGGTTGTTTATTTGTTGAAATTAGTGTCTAGTCTAGCTTTGATACACCAACAGTAGTCAATAGAAAGTTGGAGAGGAAAAATAAAAGATATAAATTTATATCTAATATAAATAACAGACATGATGAAGGTTCTGGCTGCCAGTTTTGGCATGAAGCCTTGATAGAATTGAGCTCTTGGGTTAGGTTTGACTCAACTGTAAGTGTGCACTTTATTGCCCTAGTGCAGCAAAGGCGCCAGACAGTACACTTTACATCCACAAGATAGTTGTGTGTATAATGGGTTTTGAGTCATGTGTGCCTGAAAGAAAAAAAGTAGCCACTCCACTTGATTCTTATGTGTGCCAGACACTACATAGCAGTAAGCATGTTATCTGAAATCTTTTATAAAACCACTACGTAATGGTTTCTTGTTTTGTAGCTTTAAGAACAAACTTCAGGAGGTGCCCTTCTCAGTACTCCTAGTGCCTTGTTGATTTTTCCTCTTCCCCCAGTCGACATGCCTCATTGTTTAGCCAGTGTTGGCTTAAGGTGGGTGGGCAGAAATCATCTAATGGAGCCCAGAAAGGCTTTAAGAGAATCTCCCAAACTCAGTGAACTAGTCAGTTACAGAGTAGAGATGCTTTCACATCTGATTCATTCTGCCAGATGGCCTGAGTGTTTCCTGACAGTGTGAAAGGGAACTGGAAGTGCTCCTGAGGTCAGATGGCCTTTCTGTTTTGTTGCAGTTTCACCACTCCTGAAGGCCCCAAGCCCCGTTCTCGGTGTTCAGACTGGGCCAATGCCGTTGAAGAAGATGAAATGAGGACCAGAGTTAACAAAGAAATTGCAAGGTACACATTTTGGACCACATTAAAATGTTTTTGTGGCTTTTGAATCTTACACTCATTTCAAGGTGTGCCTTAGAGCAGTGGTTCTCAAAATTTGGTTCCCAGGGTGAGGCTGTGGCTCATGGTAGAGCATTTGCCTGGCATGTGTGAGGCCCTGGGTTTGATTCTCAGAACCATATATAAATAAATAAAGTTCTATCAACAACTTTATCAGCATCTCCCGGGAGCCTACTTTCCAGGGCCTTAGTGGCGACCCTTCCAAGCTGTGGGTGGTGTGACGAGGCAAGTGCTCCACCACTGAGTTGCACACTCAGCCCAGCTCCACAGCCACTGACTATATCACCACTGTGTGCCACTCAGGTGAGGAGTTGTTCTCGATGGTGGCCTGGCTTGGTCTTCATGCAAGATGGTCCCCTTCCTTGCCTCATTGCATCCAGATGATAAATTCCTGGGTCACATCGTGGGCGTTTCTAGTCCCTCTTCTCC